AACTCCTCCGGTTTCATATGCAAAAAAAATTATTGCGCTAGCTCACGTGGTTGCAGAGCTACCGGGATTTAAAAATAGTTAAAGGGTTTAAAGGGTTAAACACATCAGCTAATCATGTTTTTACAGACATGTGGTCTCACAGCTTAAGATACTTGACATGGCAAAAAAAAAAATCAGTAAAAGTAAAAAAATAAAATAAAATCCAAAACTAAATTAATTTCATCCCTTCCTTTGCCGTTTAAAACACTTCTGGCGGAAAGTATAAGGATTTCTAGGCAACTTGAGTAGCACATCGTAAGCTAGACCGTCCCATTTAACAGCCGCGGACTTCAAGCGTTCAAAGGATGAAGTCCCTGGATTGGGACACGCCCACTTTGACCTTTTCAGGAAGTTATCACCAAACGTGTCACATGACTAAGCCAGGTGAGACTCGCTGTAACCCGGCTCTTAATGCTCACCGTGCTTCCATCTCGTCTCCTGTGGTCCATATGAGGCATCTTGTCGCTGTATCCCATTACTGAATCACTGACAGAAAAAACAAAAACAACACATTTTAAAACTATTTAATCAGTTAGTGACAAGAATAAAACTTTACTTCAGTTTTTTAAAACTGTGAAGGATATTGTGCTTAAGTGTCCTAAAGACATTAAAGCCTGGATGGCCCTCAACCTTTAACATTACGATAAAAACACTGAGCTGATGGAGTTTGGCGTTAACCACCACCACAAATACATTCCTTGGGCTGGGACATCAGGCCGACTAACACAAACCTTTTTAAATCTCTTCCTCCACATCTTCTCTTTGGATTTGACGTGTTTATTTTATTGTATTCTATTTATTTTTGGTCTTTTTCGTTGCTGTTTTTATGTGTTTACTCCTCTGTACAGCATGTTGGCCCACGGTGCAGCTGCTACAGTATGACAGTTAAATTAACACAACAGCGAGTTAAATGTCAATGTGCAGAAAACATCTGGAGGCAAACAAACATCTTTTTAATACATGCGTCGACTCTTCTTTCAGACACCAGGTGCAGCCTGCTAAAGGTGGAGCTATCCATTATCATCCCACTGAGCCACTGATGAAAACCACAAGAAAGAATAAAAGCCCTACTGCAAGTCAGGTCACATGAC